CTGACTGACAGCCAGAGAGCTACAATCCCTGAATACCTATTGAAACTTGTAAAAGTTGGGACCTCCTAAGGGTCGCAGCTAAGGTTACTGAGGTTACAACTACAAATCTTCATGCTTTTACGTTTTGGTTAAATTTGACATGTACAGCTCGATGTTTTATCTGCACTGCTGGAAATGTGAGACATTTACCTGAATGGACCAACAAATATTCATGTAGGGCTTGAGATGTATGTTCTGGACATTTATGTTGAAAGGAGTCCAGTTGCCTAAAAACTTTCCATGATGGCAGTAATGCATCTTGGGAGAATATGTATTAAGTGACCTGGTCAACCATCGTAAATGTGAAAGATCTGCATTACAATCCTTATATTTGCATTCATAAAAACAAAACAAAAATCCATTCCTAAGTTTCTGTCTGGTTTGTTTTGGTTCATGAAACATTAAAAAAATGTTTATGATATATGGAACAGATTTCTGCTGAAACAAGGTGTTGCTTATTATGGTGGCCATTTCAACAAGGTGACAAGTGTCAGTCGAAAAACCATGTGAGAATATTCGTCACAATTTGAATGTGACTGGTCCACGAGAACCTTAACAGTATGGTGGATAATCCCAAAACGGTTACAAAAAGTAAACGTTCAGGTTAGACAGGTCTCAACTAGGTCAGTTTCAGAGTAGCAAGGGACCATAGCTACGGCTCTTCATCGAAACAAATTCACAGGCTGACGAGGTACATTACCCACAGGCATAAGAATATCAATGCTAGCTTGAGTGCTGTCTCTTTTCTATAAGAAATATGTTTAATGTTTCACTGTTTTTTTGTGTGTATGTGTCTAATTCTTGGTACATAAAATGTACAATGTTATTTTGTAATAAAAGTGCTTTATTAAGTTATTTTGCAATGTTGAAAAATTGTGTTCTTTTTCAGAGTGATTAAATTAAAACCTGTTAATCATCATTGTAATGTTTGTTTTTTATTTTATGGTGATGTAATTTGTTTCTGCAGTTCTTTGATACATACGTTCACTTACTGTCATGATTATTTTGATATCCCAAGTAGGTCTAATAGAGTGTTCTTAAATAATGGAAATTACCAACCAATTAGTGGAAGCAGATGTACTGAGTTTAATAACAAATCTTCAGAAGCTTTATAACCATATCAGTATTTATTCAATCTTAGGGTTGATCAGTATTGAATAAAAATCTCAAAAAACCTTTATAGATTATGAATAACTGTTTTCTTGAGGGAAAGATTGGTTGAAATTTAATTAAAACTCTTAATAATCTGTAAAGCACACATTTCATACCAAATAAAATCATTAAAATATGTAAAGATCTGTGTTATATGAATTGATGCACACAGAATATCGAAACAGCTCCTTAACAGTCTGTAGAACCTTTACTATTTGTGGGTGAAAGGGATTGACTTTAATTTAGTACAATTTTCCTAAATTATCTCCCTTCAACTGCTTAGGTTTCCATTTTAAAACGCTCGTGATGAAATAACAAATAATGAAAACACAGTAATCCACTTGGTGGGATGTCATTTAGTTTATAGTACCACAATTTTAGTGCATGTCTTCTAAAAAAGAAATGCGCCTACAACAAATTTACAACTCAGACTGGCAGAGAGATGTGATAAATCTGAAATTTCTTGTAGACTCCATTTGAAAATGGACTATGCCAATATTGATTTAGAATGATTCAAATGTGATATGAGGGGTGAATGGGTTAAATGTAAACTGACATAATAAACAATCACAGACTGAAGTTACTGACTATCACCTGGTAGCCTAACTCATGGATCATCTAAAAACCATAATTCTATATCAAGTATGTGATTATTTGATTGTTGAATAACACACAAGTCAAACTGTTAAATAACTTGTACAAAGAAATAATATTTATAACTGAAAAAAGATATTATCGTAAAACATTATAATATATTCCTACACAAATTACATTATTATACTAAATATTTGATTGCTGATCATTCCTTCATGAACCGTCTTTGTGAGAACTTGAGAAATGTTGGCTTTGTGGAGATGGATCTATTGGAGGTGTAGAAGATAGTTTTTCTGTGACCTGTTCTGCTATCTGTCTGTAAGCCAAGGCCTGAAACACGGTAAAGGACTATTTAATACACTTTTCAAAAGTAACCCAAAACGAAATGATTTCCCCGGTAGATATAATAGAAAAAAATAGACCATTAACCATTTATAATAGGTGAAAAATTTATATTTCATAAAAGTAACAGTATTTTCTTTTTTGTATATCTAATAGTATCCTATATCATGGCACGTAGTGCTTGTTTTAATTGGTAGAATGTCCACCTCCAACCATCAGTTATCACAAAATTGCTCTATTTTGCCTACCATGAGTGGGGAATAATTTTAACTGGTCGAGTACAAAGTCAGGATTATTTTATAATTGTAGGATCTAGTATTTAACCTTAAATATTTGTATTTGTCTATGTTGATAATTGACAAAGAGATGTGAATAGCAACATTTTCAGTCTTTGCTTTGAAATCCAATATGGCAGCATACTGTCCTCCAAACCTCAAGTTTCAATGAATCCAGATATTATATAACACACCTGGATTAAATTTTCTGATGAAGTTCTCAATTAAGAAAAAGGGTCAACCAAGTATCATCTACTGTTAACCTGTTAATGCCATATAGAAAAGTCTTGTGTTATAAGACAAATATCTGCCTTCTAAGATCAGTGCCTTGTTGGGAGACAGAGATACTGTCACACTTGTCTTACTTGTGGAGACTGCGGCTTTGACACCACCACCGGCTGTCCATTGTCACTACCCTCTCTGATACAGATGTGCAGGGGTACGTCCCCTACAAACACAAAATCACGATTCTTGTATTTGTTTTCACTCTGATATCAATCAGTAAGAAATGTCAGGATGATTTAAAAAAGACTTAAATAAGGTATTCTAGATTATTACCATATTAAGATATATTTTTTTAATTTCGGTTATCGGCCAAAAACGTTTATTTTATTTTTATTGTTTGTATTCATTGGTATTTTTATAAGTTGTGCAAAAAATAACTTCTCTTTTTCCAAAAACTTAAATCGTAATAAATTATGCCATGTTTTATTGAGTTGCAGATACCAATATGAGATTAGATATGTCAAACAATTTCACACCAGGGGGGCAGTCAAATTACATCAAGTTTCCATGGTAACAAACATACCCAGGACACTAAGTCCCATGTCTGAGGCTATAGTGGCAGCACCATCCTGACCAAAGATATGCTCTGCATGGCCACACTTTGGACAGACATACACACTCATGTTCTGGACGAGTCCAAGTACTGGAACCTCTACCTTACGGAACATCTCCGCACCCCGCCGTGCGTCTAGTAGGGCTATGTCTTGGGGTGTGGATACAATCACTGCACCTGTGTAATATACAACTGTGGTCTCTACTTACACAACATATGGGGGATGTTCTGGAAGAAATCTTGCTATATACGCTGAACAGATTACATCAACCACAACATATATTTTGTATAAAATGGTCTTTATAAAGAACAAGAGGCCCATGGGCCTT